AGGAACTCCTGCGCAGGTGAAACCTTGAATACTTGAATGTCTTGCCTATGTATGTGGTAAGGTGACTTCACCCTGAGTGCTCAGCTGCTCTAGGTGTGTGTGGCAGAGGCATCAGGCAGATCCAGATTGTGGTAATGAGTAACTGTGGGCTCTCCCCAGCTTCAGACACAGGATGAGTTCACATTTTATCCTTCGACCTGTAACTGCCCCAGTTCGATCTTCTGAATGGAACGATTGAAATCTAGCCTCCAGATACTGTGAATGTTCACAGCAGTTCAACATTTAGTGAATAGAAGAAACCTCTGGGTCTGGCATTGTGGATCAGGGTTGATGACAATGTGCCTCCTTGTACAAGGATGAGAATATTTATTGTTATACTTTGGGCAAGTTACATAACCTGTTTAATTTCCTCATCTGTAAAAGGAGAATAATAACAATACCTACCTCATGGGATTGTTGTGAGGTGAAATGAGTTAATTACATTTAAGCACTTGGAATAGAGATCGGCAGCTTGCAAATGTTAGCTATCATTATGACTGAAAATTCATAATTTTCTGCCTCAAATATTCCTCTAGAATCTGGATATCTGAAATAAAACAAAGAAAAGGCAGAAATATGAGGATTTATGAGTGTGCCACATTTCTCAGATATCAGTACTTTGAAGTCATGCTTTTTAGTTTTCTGAGGTATTGAGCTAATTGAAAAGCTGGATTGGAAGGCTCTCAGCAGAGAATGAGGGTGTTTTTGTTTGTGTGTGTGTGTTTGTTTTTAGGGTTCTGCTAGGTGACTAGTCACAGCTAACTAAAATCTGTAAACACAACTACCCAGACAGCAGTTTTTGTAAATCTCAATAGTTAAGCTGGCAAGGGTTTGAGAGAGTTCTTTGAAATATCCAAATTTCTCGGGAAATGGTAGCAATTCAAGACCTAGATCCAACTTACAATGTCTCAAGGAGATGATAAGGGTGATGATAACAAGCAACCACTAGTTTTTCAGAGAAAAAATGTTTTTTATTTAAATACATAGAATGCTGTTATTACAATTTCCTTAATTTCCTTACCCTCTCTCCCTGCCTGCATTTCCCTTCCTCTTTCCTCTCTGTCTTTGTCACAGAACTATATGTTCCCCCTTCAGAAGCACTTTACAGTTGGCAGATATCCTTCAATGCCCCTTTCTGTATATTTACACACACATGCAATTAGAAATTATTTTGTAGGAGGATTTAACAGTTTTTATATAAACAGGGTATTTTGGGTTGTCCTCTACATTACTTCTTCTCACTTAAAATGTCTTTTCTCTCCATGCCAGTGCATATAGATCCCTCTCTTTCTGTTGAATTGTGGCTTATTACAGCACTATATGGGCGCATAATAGTTTTATTTCTTCATTCACTGCATGATGGAATTTGGGTTGCTTTCCATTTTCTGTTCTTACAAACAACCCTCCCATAACCTCCTTTGGGCATATGTAGAGTTCCTGTGCCATGAGGCACATTTAAAAATAACTTGCCCAAACTAGTTTTAGATTTAAATTATAGAATACATTTTTATTTCACTCTAAAATTTCCCAGTCTCTATGGATAGCCACATTTTATTGCTGGTTAAAAGCACTTCCCATCTTTTCAACAAAATATGGCCAGAAAATGGTGATGGCCACAAAAAAAGGTGAAATGTACATCTCAGTAAGACACACCCTGCTTAAGACTCATCTACAAGTGTCATAATGAGAGTGGCACCAAAACGTTTCTTGAAGTGCTCAGGATGTCAATGGTAGTTTCCTTTAGCTGTGTAGCCTGGAACATTTTGTACCATTACAAAATCTCTTTCAAAAACACCAGTCCCCTTCATTTTTAAATTGTATGTTGACTAGTTTGCTAGCAAGTCTGCAGTGGAACGCCTGTCTCCACAGGTGCTCATCACCAGTATTTGTGGTTAGCATTCTGCACAGCCTGTACATTTCGCTATCTCTGTTTAATAAAACACTGTGTTTTCAAAAGCATGAGGCCCAGATCTGCTGGGTCAGATGTGATGTTATCTTTCAACTGCACAAAGCTCTACCATAAGCATTCAAGAAGTTTGTTATCTGACACAATCTGTCCAGGACTCTTCTGCTGTCAACTGACCACAGACCACTGAGCTAAGGTTAATCCAAAGATGGCCCGTTTAGTGACTGGGTACTCAGAGACAGCTATTCAAAATCACTGCTCTGTGAACTCCTTTTTACTGGTCCAGAATGAAATAAGGTGTTTGTTCCAGAATGTAAATTAACATACTGTTCCACTCACCGAGAAAGTCTTGCTATGGAAAAAAATGTAGTTGATTTACATTCTGGTGCAAACTCCTTAACTTGTATACTCATCTGGGAACCACATTTGCGTAGCACCTCTAAGGTGCTGTATGAAGTTGAATGAATGAATGAAAGAAAGAAAGAAAGAAAGAAAGAAAGAAAGAAAGAAAGAAAGAAAGAAAGAAAGAAAGAAAGAAAGAGAAAGATAGATCTAAGATGGACTAAATGGTTTCTCGGGGTGGAGGTGGGAGAATAGAGAGGGGGATGGTGATTAAATAAAATATTCTCTTTCAGTGGGAAAACGACCCTTCCTTGCCTTTGAGCTGCCACAGGGAGAGACAGTTTAAGGCACCAATAGCCTACCTGGCTGCTGTTGCCAGTACCTCTGTCATTTCCTATCAAACGCATCTCCCCTTCTTACTCTTTGCCCTTCTTCCTGTTAACTCTGGCATGGGATTTAAAGACAGAAAAACGATATACAGAGGGATCATTTTATGCTCTATGTTTTACACAGAATTAAATACAATTCTCACAAGTGGGCGAGGAAGGTATTATTATCCACACTGTAAATGCTTAGAGGTTCAGTTAACTTGGCCCAGGTCCCACATGTAATAAAGTGGCAGATTTGGGACTGGAACCCAGGTCTGTCTGATGCTCTCCTGGGTAGTTTGGTCTCTTATTGACATTTCCAAGGAGGATGCTAACAGAATCCAGATCCTAGGACAGAACTTTAAAAATGCACACAACACACTCCTGTTCTATTTTGGAACTTTGAGGATCCATTAGTTTCATAGTCTTGGTGCCTCCTTTAATTGTCATAGTCCTGCCAATTGCCCACTTCTCTGTATTTGTGTTATATACTTGTGTATGAGGCTTTGAAAGCATTACATGCAATAGGTTAGTACATTAATTATGTTAGTCTATCAACTTTATGTATCTAAGACAAATAAATATTATGTAAATGAGACTTAATGAGACTCAAACACTTAAATTTTTAGATGCTGTGCTATGCTGAGCATGCGTGTCATCCAATAGAGCAGCGCACACTGAGAAGAAAGGCATCAGGGGCTTACATCAGTAAAACTTTAAGGGAGGAATGTCCAGTGACCAGGGGCATGTGAGGACATCCCCACTGAAGTACAAGACACAACTTGCATCTCACTAGGAAGGTGGAAGCACAGCACTTAATAGGCCTCTCTGGGTTCTGAAGGCAGCACCTTTCATTCACACCTACGAACAGTGCCCTCTGCTCTATACTGGGTGACATGCAAGGCTGCCAGTTTTGAGGGAGGCCCAGAGCAGGAAAGGGGTCTGTGATGCCACTTGGGTCATCTAACCTAGTAGACTATCCGTGGAGGGAAAAATGTGGAAGAATAAAGCAAAACCACTGTATATAGTCTCTTGATTTTTCTGTTCACTTCATCAAATAACTAAATGTATAAAAACCACATAGAGCACATTACTAAAGAAAAATATTTTATTTTTCAAATAGATAATGGATTCTTCACCCCTCAATTATTTCTGTAACAATTTTATCTTTTTATTAAAACTAAATATACATATTTTAATACATTTCATCTTTTCTCAAATTAAAGACTATGCTATACTTGTGATTGTCTTGAGCAACCAAAGTCTAAAGATTTAAACTTGATATGGAGAAAAATGTCACGTCAAGTCCTCCGTACCTGATTTGATGCTGAGGTTGAACTGGTGTATTGGTTTGTTTAGAGGCCACTCCAAGCTTTAAAGCAAAGTAAAATCCTTAGGTTGGCCTTGGTTGCTTGAGGAACCTCTGGATGGGGGATGATTGGTTTTGCTCTGCACAGGACAGTTCTTCCCCAGGCTAAGAACTGTTTTCTGGAAACAGTGGACTGAGGTATATATACTCTATTCAGGCATCTGTTTGTGGTGGCAGGTGGGGAGGGCCTTATTTATGTCCTATTTCTATTGGTAATCATTTCTCCAGAAAAATAAAGAGAAAATGGGTAGCTCCATGTCATTGATGATACCAATATTTTCCCCACAGTTATCTCTCACTCAGTGATACTAAGACCAATGAAAAAGAACACAGGGGTTGAATTCACTGTGAACACAAGACGTAAAAGTGACTGGCATCTGTGATAGTGGCAGAATCTGAGACTTGACTTTTACAAAGGTCTCCTGGGCTTGATTTATTCTAAGCAGCCTGTAAAGAGCTAGAATTTGCACACACTGTTTTGGATCTATCCTTTTACTTTTTTCCACTGTCCACTGACTTTAATTTTTACACTCAAAAACAGGGCGAGGAAAAAAATCTCTATCTCTGTTACAGAATCGCCATAAAACATACGATCATATTCAAATTTCCCATTTAAAGGGTCCTTTATGAATTCAAAATTAAATAACAAAAATAAATAGTGGGTAGCTAATGAGGTTTTTTTTTTAAGGTAGTAAAAATATATGACCTCAGTCATTTCTTAGCATAATGTTAATCTGTCAAATGTGGGTAAAATCCCATTCAGAGGAAAGGTTTGGAATCCTACATAAAAATATAACATGCATTAAACCAGAAAATTCTTAAATATAAAAAATTCAAGTGACCTTATCCTTATTGATATTAATATAACACAAATAAAATTATAATGAACATTTTAGCACAAAATGTAGTTCATTTCTAGTTAACACAATGAAATAATTGATAATCAAATTCTAACTACTACAGCATGGATGTCTGAATGAAATTCATATATTTACATATGCTTCAAAGTAGAATTTGACCTTGGGCTAGTAAATTTTATTCTAATCCACAGTATTTATGACTCTTAATTTCAATTGCTTTCACTAAGAAATTGGGAGAACACCAAAATTTCTGACATTTGGATTAATCAGAAAATAGTCGAGTTATTATCTGTATATCCAGTAAGAAACTATTCTAAAGCTGCTGTTTTTCTTACCTATTTCTCTAAATAAAAGCTCTTGGATGGTAATCTACTCTTCTAATTAAAGGAAAATATTGTTACTCCTTCTCCAATTCCTATTTCAACTGGAAGAGCCACATCATTATTTTTTAATGGTTTCTTCTTATTTTATATTTTTAAAATGTCAGCAATATTACTTTCTGTAACATTCAGAACAGCATTAAAAATATTCATTTAGTACTGGCACTCAGATTTTGAAGATACACCTTTATGATGAAGTAACAGTCATAAAACAAAATGTTCAGAAGAACTGTCAGAGTAACTAGCTATTTAAAAAGTCAGATTTATGACCCTTTCTAAAAATTTTAAAGCTATGCAGGTTTAGATCAAAGTGCTCCTAGTGAGAAAGAATAATGTACTGTACTGAAAAACTGAGACCTTGTCAGGGTCTTCTTAACTTGCCTCTGGGCAACTTTAAAAGCCAAAAGAGCTGTACCATATGCTGTTCTCAGGGTCAGTACCATGGGATGTCTTATAACAAGATCTTTTGGTATTACTGATAACGAAAGCATCTTGGATTGGATCCAAGATTGACATGTGTTATAAGTAAATTTTGCTTTATAGTAAGATATGCTTAAAGAACAATTCAACAAATTTACAATAAAGAACACCTAAGTAAATAATAATCAAAGTACTCCTTTGACGTAAAAAATCTGATGCTGCTGAAAAGTGTTTAATTCCTACTACTACAGCTTAACATGGCTGATTTGATCTCATTTCCTTAGGAGGAATTTTTTTGATCTTTTAACATCTTACAATAGTAACCTGGAACTAGTTTAGGTCTATAAAAACATAATTGTCACAGGTCACACAAAAACATGATAACTAGCACAAGTTTCTGCATGTCTTCCAAAAAAAAGTCCTTGGATAACAACTATATATAATGCATAATGTTGCAGAGAATCCAAAGAAGTACTATAAATGATGGATAGTATTTAATGATAGTAAATAACAATTATTTTCTAAAAAGCTGAACCAATGTCAACTTTAGATAAAACATAACATAAAATTATTTCATGAAATATAGTCTCGTTCTATGCTCTCCTGACAGTACTCCCAACAGAAAGCTTCCAGTCTATTTGCTGTTTCTTGGCTGATGAGACATTGATCCTTTAATTCCCTGATAGTCTTCCTCAATGATTTTTGGAAACGTTTTTCTCGGTCTAAAACATTCCGCAGACTTTTCTTGGTATCCTCTAGCTCGCTGATCACATGATCTAATTTATGTTTAAGTTTCTTTGGGCTGTCCGTTACACTGTAGCTATGTTCCTAAAAATATAAACACCAAGTTAGTAGAACAGACAGACAAGCAGTTAGCTAAAAGCTTATGACTAGGCCTTAGCTGTTTCTCCATTTACTGTGCTTAGAGAAGACCTTTAAGTTGGTGACAGTAAGAGGTTTAAAGAACGTAAGAAGAGGATAAAGTTGGAAGCAGTATTTCAGGTGCCTAGGGACTCCTTCTTTTGTCAATGGCTAGGCAGACTGGAGGAGTGCAGAATGCTATGGATGGGATGAATTTCTCATTTGGAAGTAGGTATCTGCTTATGAACACCATGACATTCATAATGACTATACAACTTCGCTCCTTAAGTGTGGGGCTACTAAGTTTAAATTTTATCAATCAAACAAACTTATACTGTTAAACTTGTAACTGAGTTACTTTATTTTGATGAATATTTGACTTTATAAGGGGAGACAGGACAGGAGCACTGACTAAAGCAGGTCCTCAGGCTGGGTGTTAAGGGTTTAAGACAGGACTCTGGCCTTGCATTTTTGGGTGGGGGGAGTAGAAGGAAGGTGGGGGGAGAGAGAGAGAGAGAGGAACATTGATGTGAGACAAGCACATGGATTGGTTGCCTACCACACATGCCATGACTAGGGTGGGGATCACACTTGCACCCAAAGCATGTGCCCTTGACCAGGAATCGAACCCACCCACAACTCTTCTGTGTGTGCCACACTCTAATCACTGAGCCACACTGGCCAGGGCAGGCCTTGGATTTTTAAAGGGATAATTTAAGTTTTCTCAATATTTATTATGATTATGCTTATGTTTGCTGGGTATACATTTTTTTCCTTTGGAAACAGAAAAAATAACACAGACATTTATAATGGCACTATAAAATAATTTTGAAAAGCTTTTATTTAATATTAAAATTAGTGAAAAGGATTTTTTGCTTCCATCCAAAATGAAATAAAAGATACTGGATTGACTCTTATCTAAAAAAACCAACACATGGCCAAAGATATCAAAAGTTTTGAGATAAAGGATATCAGTCAAGAACGGAAGAGATTGTGGAGAGATGGGAAACACATAGATGAGCCCTATGGTCACCCTGGCTTACTGCCTTGAGAGAGTTTCTAGGTCTTAGTGCAAGGAGGGGAAACACAAGCAGAGCTCAGTGGACTGAGTTGAAAAGATAGTGCAAAGCATCCAGGGAGACTAAAGTGGCTACAGTTCACAGGACACAGAACTAGAGAGGAGAGATCTTCACAGAGATCCACAGAGGCTCCCCTACAGTATTACTCTGAGTAAGATGAGAGCATGTATGTAGGAAACTGCTCAAGGCTGATGAATGAACAACTAAACAGATTAAGAGTGCCCTGTACTCACAGGGCAGAGCCATTATTTCCACCAGCCAGACTAGAACGCCTCAAGATTCACGGGCTCGGAACAGAGGATACAAAAGGGTCTTGCCTCAGTAGCGGAGAACAAAAAGCCCTACACTGAGCACTATTCAGGTCCTGCCCACCAAAGCAAACTCTGAAAGGATCAAACTGTTTCCAAATAACTTAACTGCACCCCAGAACAAAGCCCAAGAATACAGGATACAAAACTATCCAGCATCTAGCTAAGTAAAATCCAGTGTGAGGCACACAAAACTTACCAGGCCTGCAGAGAAGCAGGAAAATGTGAGACATAATAAGATATAAACCAATACATAGAAACCAACCCAGGTGCAAATGTTAGACTTAGATAAGGGAATTGAGAAAATTACTAAAACTGTATTCTATATGTTCATAAAGTACAGTCATGAAACATATAAAAAATAAAATAGAACATCTAGAAATAAAAACTATAATGTGTGAGGTAAAAAACATGTTGGAGGGAGTTAATGGCAGATTAGACATTTTAGAAGAAAACATTACTGAAGGTGAAGATATAGCAATCGAACTGTCCAGAATGGACTTTAAAGATATATATAAGTTGAAAGAATTTATCACCAGCATAGCTGCCCTGTAAGAAGTGTTAAAGTAAGAATGATACCAGATGAAAACAAGATGGACTTACACAAAGGAATGAAAAGCCTTCGCAGTGGTAACTACATGGGTAACATAAGATTTTTTCTTATTTAAATCTCTTTAAAAGATAATTTATGACTTAAACAAAAACAGTAATAATGTAGTGTGGGGTTCATAGCATATGTAAAAATGAAATGTATGATAAGCAACAGCACAGAAGTTGGAGAGGAGAAATAAAAGTATACTATTGTAAGATTCTTTTTTTAAAAATCCTCATCTGAGGATATTTTTGATATTTTGTTCAGATAGAGTGGGAGGGAGAGAGAGAGAGAGAAACATCGATGTGAAAGGGACACATCGAGTGGTTGCCACCCACACGACCCAACCAGGGCCGGGGACAAACTGCAACCAAGGTACGCACCCCTAGAGGGAACTGAACCCGGGTCTCTCTGGACCACAGGCTGACGCTCTAACTGCTGAGACAAACCAGCCTGGGCTGTAAGATTCTTATACTAAATGTTAAGTATATTAATATCCCTTATCATGTAGCCTATGACAAGTTAAAAATGGATTCTACAGACCTAAAAGCAACTACTAAAATAAAACAGTTATAGCTAATGAGTGGGAAAAAAAAAGGAGGGTGATAAATGGAATCATAAAAGCATTAATTTTTAAAAACCCAGAAAAAGAAAGGGAACAAAGAATATAAATGGATGATTACAGATTATTTGTAAGATTACTAAACCAAACTACATCAATAATCACATTAAGTATAAAGGGTTTAAAAAATCCTACTAAAAGGCAGACATTATCAAGTTAGATTAAAAAATTAAAAAGTATATGCTGCCTACAAACTATGTACTTCCAAGATAAAAAGATGTAAAAAAGCTGAAAGTAAAGGAGTGGAAAAAGATAAACTATGGTAACACTAATAAAAAAAAGCCAGAGTGGGTATATTACTATCAGACAAAGTAAATTTCAGAGCAAAAAATATTACCATGGATAAAGAAGGCCATTTCTTAATAATTAAGGGTTAATTTATTAAGATGTAATAATACTAAATATTGAGCATCTAATAACAATGCTGCACAATGTCTGGAGCAAAAACTGACAACTACAAGAAGGATTAGACAAATCCATAATTATACTAGAACATTATATACCTCTCTTTCAATAATAGAACAAGTAGACAGAAATTCAGTAAGAATGAAGACTTGAACAACATTATCAAATAATTTGATCACAGTGATATTTATAAAACATTCCAGCTCAGAGCAGAACATATATTCTTTGCAAATGCACAAAGAACACTTGTGAAGATAGACCATATGCTAGGCTATAAGCCTCAAAAAAATTAAAACATTTTTTAAAAATATGTTTTTATTGATTTTTTTTTTAAGAGAGAGAGGAAGGGACAGAGAGATAGAAACATGGCTGTGAGAGAGAAACATCCATCTGCTGTCCCCTGCATGCCTCCTACTGGGGATCAAGGCATGTGTCCTGACCAGGAACTGAACTGGGAACTCTCAGTCCATGGGACAAGATTCAATCCATTGAGCCACACCAGCCAGGTGAGTCTCAAAAAATTTTAAAAGCAGTCAGGTCATACAATGTATGTTCTCTGACCACAACAGAATTAAATTAGAACTTAATAACACATCTGGAAAATTCTCCAGTATTTGAAAACTACATAGCAAACTTCTAATAACTCATGGGTCAAAGAAGAAATCAAAATGAAATTTGGAAGTATTTTAAAAGAAATGAATATGAAAAGATAATATTTAATTTGTGGAATGCTGCTAAAGCAACACTTAGGGAGAAATTAATATCACTACATACTAATATTAGAAAGGAAGAAGCATCAAGTCAGTGACCTCGGCTTCCATCTTAAGACATTAAAAAGATGAAAAAATTTTATTTAAATAAGTAAAAGGAAATAATAAAGATGAGTGGAAATCAGTGAAGTAAAAAACAAAGACAACAAAAAAAGTGAGAAAATGAAAGCTCGTTATTTGACATGATCAATAAAACTAATAACTCTTTAGGCAGACTGCTCAGCAATAAAAGAGAACAAGAACAAATTACCAATATCAGAAATGATATTACTACAGATTTTATAGATATTAAAAGGATAATAAGGAAATATTATGAACAATTTTAAACTAATAAACATGACAACTGAGATGAAATGAACAAATCCTTTGGAAAATACAAGCTATCAAAAAGACTTTTCCTTAAAGAAAACTCCAGGCCTAGATAGCTTTGCTGGGGAATTCTATCAAATATTTATAGAAGAATAATTTCAATTCTGTACAAATTCTTCCAGAAAATCAAAAAAGGAGGCAATATTGTCTAACTCATTCTTTTGAGTTCAGCATTATTCTGATACTGAAATCAGACAAAACATTAAAAGGAATGAAAACTACAGGCCAGTATCACTCTTGAACATATAAGAATATATTCTACACAAAAATTTAACAAACTGAATCCAAAAATATATAAAAGAGATGATACATCATTAAGAAGTAGGGTTTATTCTAGGAAAGCAATGATGGTTTAACGTTCAAAAATCAGTTGATGTAACTAATCATCTTAACAAACAAATAACCAAAAATAACATATTTCAAAAGATAAAAAATATTATTTGACAAAATTAACATTCTTTTCCAATAAAAACTCTCAGTAAACTAGGAAGAGAAAGGCACTTCCTCAACCTGATAAAGGGCATTTACAAAGAGCTATATTTAATATCATATTAATATCTTCATTGGTGAAAGACTGAATGTTTTCTTCCTAAAATCAGGAGCAAGACATGAAGCCCTGGATGGGTAGCTCAGTCGGTTAGAATGTCCTCTTGACACGCCAAGGTTGTGGATTGATAGGACACATACAAGAATCAACCACTCAGAAGAGGGGGTGGGGGGGGGGAAGGGAAGAGATAAACCACAGAACTTATATGCATGTACTGCATAACCAATGGACATGGACAACAAAGCCGGGGATGAGTTGGGGGGGATGGGGAAGAGGGTGTCAATGGGGAAAAAAAGAAGAAACATCTGTAACCAAAAAAAAAAGAATCAACCAATGAATGCATAAATAAGTGGGACAAAAAATCACTGTTTCTTTTTCTCTCTCTCAAATTAAAAAAAAAAAAATCAGGAGCATGGCATGGAGAATAGCTCTTAGTAATTCCATTTGACATAGCCCTGGATGTTCAAGGCAGCGCAATAAAGCAAGAAAAAGAAATCAAAGTTATTCATATTGGAAAGAAAGAATTAAAACTTCTTAATGACAGACATGATGTAGAAAATCTGATAGCTTCTACAAAAAACTCTGACAATTATTATGTGAGTTTAGCAAGTTTTCCACATTCAAGGTTAATATAAAAAACCAACTGTATTTTCATGTACCAGTAGTAAAACTCTAGCTGGCTTTTTGGTGGACTTTTACAAAGTGATTCTAAAATTTATATTAAAATGCAAAGGACCAAGAATATCCAAAACAACTTTGAAAAAGAACAAAGTTGGAAAACAACCTGATTTAAAGAATTATTATAAAACTATAGTAATCAAGATAGTAAAAAAGACCTGAATTCCAGGCCTGGTTTTAATATGAACAATGAGATAAATAAATAAATGCGAGCTTGACTACTCTGTATGTATGACTGTTCTTTAAAACCTAAAGACATAACTATTTTTTAAATTAGGTATTTCCATATAAAAATGTAGTACCTAGTGGGAGGCAATGCATTTTCTTCATTGAAAGCATTCTCAGAACTAAATATGTAACCAAAGGCTTAACTACCAACCAATTTGTTATTGCATTATAATGGCCCAAGGAAGCAGTATTATTTTTGAATATCATAGATAAAAAAAAAAACAAAACTCAACCATCTAAACCTCGAGTTTTTTAAATAAGATTTTGAAAGATTTAATGTTAATGGAGAGGACAAATTCATCTAAAAAATATGTAATTTTACTTACAAAAATGAACTGGGACTGAAATTCTTCAATACACGAGGAAGCACCAACAAGCTGGTGATTGTGGTTTGTGACTGGAAGGGTTTTGAGGGTGAAGTTTTTCCTACAATGAAGTTTTTTGCTTTTCCCCTGTTAAGAATAGTTAATAACAATTATTGTAGATATTTCTGTCCCTTTTAAATTTTCATTTCTTCCTAACTTTGTATAGTAAAATTAATACATTTCTCTTCATGAAAACTGCTTTTAAAAGTACATTTTAAATTTCACTGAAATTATTTTAAAGGAACTTTCTCAAAATTACTCTAAAATTCATCTAGAAACACAAATTTTCCTAAAAATGAAGAGTGATAATGAGGGAAAATATGCCTACAGGTATTAAAAATATTTTACACAGAAACAATAGCAAAAATAGTTTGCTACTCTCCTAGACAGAAAAATCTAGAAATAGTTCAAGTAGACAAAAGCCTTTAGAATTTAAAAAATGGCATTATAAGTAAGTGGAGAAAAGCTATAAATCATGTCAAAATGAACTAATTAAGAAAACAGTAACATCCTTTATATATAATAAAATATGATGAAATTCCATGTATTAAAAATTTAAAGATAAAAACCATGAGGAACTATAAAAAATATAGAGAATGTTTACATAATCTTAAGGTGGGAGAGGCTAACATCAGACAACACAGGAGAAAATAGAGTTGACTACTTAACAAAAAAGTCTGAATTTTAAAAAACAAAATCAACCCCATTAATTAGAATTAAAGACAACAAAAATTAACTGCAACATAGATGGCAGTTAAATGATTCATATCCTCAATATACAGTGACGCTATAATACACTTTAAAAAATATAAAAATAGAAGAGGACCTGAAGAATTAACTCACATACACACACCAAAAGAAATACAAATGGCTAATAAACACATTAAAAATATAGAAACTCACTAATACTCAAAAATGAATGAAAACAATGACATTTTTGCCTATCATATTTAGCAAAGGTTAAAAATACAACTAATACTGAGTATTAGGGTGGATAGAGATTTTTATGCATTGTTAGTAGAGTAATACATTGGTATACGTTTTGCGGTAGGTCTTTGGAAGAAAGCAAGTCTTAAAAATGGCGTGGCTCAGTTGGTTGTAGCGTTGTCGTACCTTACACCAAAAGGTGGAGGATTCAATTCCATCAGGGCACATACCCACGTTGCTGGTTTGATCCCCAGGGTGCATACAGGAGGCAACTGATCGATTGCTTCCTTCTCTCTCTAAAATCAATTTAAATTTTTAAAAATAAGATCTCTTTAAAATTTAAAAAAGCGTACAATTTTTGATCCAACAATTTTATTTTGAAGAATTTAGTTCGAGGAAATAAAGATATGTACAAAGCCCTAGCCGGTTTGGCTCAGCGGTTAGAGTGTTGGCCTGCAGACCAAAGAGTTGCGGGTTCCACTGCGGACAAGGGCGTGCACTTTGGTTGCAGTTTGTCACTGGCCGTGGTCGGGGTCATGTGGGAGGCAACCAGGTGATTATGTTCTTCTCATGTCAATATTTTTCTCTCTCTCCTTCTCTCCTCCTCTCTCTCCCTCCCTCCCATTTTATCTGAAGATAAATAGAAAAATATCCTCAGGTGAGGACTTAAAAAAAAAAAAAAAAGATATGTACAAAGATTCAGCTACAACAATGTTCATTTTAGTGCTGTTTAAAATAGTGGATAACCCATATATAATATGAGGACTGATTACATAAACTATTGTTCATACATAAAATAAAAAAAACTGTATGGTCATTAAAAATGTTCTATAAAGCTGATGCCAATAAGTCCTAGCAAGGATATAGAACCAGAGGAACTTTTTTATGCTGCTGGTGGGACTATAAATGGGCAAACCACTTTGGAAAATCATGGTGATATCTACATAAACTGAACATACACATCCCTAGGACTCAGCAATTCCATTTCTAACAGAAGTGTATATATATTCTTCAGAAATGTGTACATAAGTGCATCAAAAGACACAGACAAAATGTTTGTAATTGAATGGAAAAATTAGTTTATTTATACAATGGGATATTATATTACAAAGAAAATAAATGGACTACTATCACATGCTACAACGTGTATTAAGCACACAAACGAAATGTTGAGCTAGAGTACATAGTATATGACTCCATTCATAAAACTGACAATGACAGCAGTTAACTCTGTGGGTGTAGTGGTTGGGATAGAGCATGAGGGAGGCTTCTGGGCCACTGGTAATATACCATATCTTGGTCTGAGGGGAGTTACATGAGTGTATTCACTTTGTGAAAATTCATTGGTCTATATAATACACCTATGATGTGTGCACTTTTCTCTATATATGTTATACTTCAATGTAAAGTTTAGTTTAAAAAAAATCAAGGTTCTATATGGTATTCTCTTAAAAATGTGATCCATAGATCTGCAACACACTCATGTGGGATGCTTGTTATAAAGTGCAGATTCCTAGACTCTAACACAAACTTACTGAATCAAATTCTCTAAAGAGGGGCATGAGATTCTGCATTTAAACAAGCTTTCTTGATTAGTCTTTTCTTTTTTTTTTTTTTATCCTCACCCGAGGACATTTTTCCATTTTTTGTTCAGGTAGAATGGGAGGGAGAGAGAGGAACAGAGAGAGAGAGAGAGAGAAACATCGATGTGAAAGGGCCACATCGAGTGGCTGCCACCGGCACGACACACCAGGGCCGGGGACAAACTGCAACCAAGGTACGCCCCCTTACGGGAACCAAACCCGGGTCTCTCTGGACCGCAAGCCAACACTCTAACCGCTGAGCCAAACTGGCCAGGGCTCTTGATTAGTCTTACATAGGCAAACTAACATTCGAAAGCCATCGTGAAAAATATAGGGTGGGGCAAAAGTAGCTTTACAGTTGTTCATATGGAAAATAATATAATAATTAATAATACAACAATAAACTGTGTTTCACGTACTTACAATTGTAAATCTACTTTTGCCCCACCCTATATTTAACATTACGGAAAATAGTAGTTGAAAGTGGACTCTGGTGCCAAAATACCTGGGTTCAAATCCACTCTCTGTCATTTAACAGCTGTATGACTTGGGGAAGGTATTCTAGCTCTCTGGGCCTCAGTTTCCCCAAATGATAAAATGAGAATAATAATAGTATTATCTTATATGATTGTTGTGAGGACTACATAAATGAACAATACATGCAAAGTGCTTAGACTAGTGCCTGGCACATAGTAAGTACTTTCATTTTTTAAAAAATCTGTTTTTATTAATTTTAGAAAGAGAGGAAAGGAGAGGGCAAAAGAGAGAGAGAAACATTAAAACATTGATGAGAGAAACATTGATTGTCTGCTTTCTGCATGCCCTGGCTGGTGTGGCTGACTTGGTTGGAGCATTGTACCATACAACAAAAGGTGGTGGGTTTAATTCTTGGCCAGGGCACATACCCAGGTTGTGGGTTTGATCCCTGGCTGGGGTAGGAGGCAACCTTTTTTCTCATATCAGTGTTTCTCTCCATCTCTCTCCCTCTCTCTCTCCTGTTCTCTAAAATAAATAAAGAATAAAAATAAAAAGAGAGAAGCAAATAAAAAAGAGGGTATACATACAGTATAATTCTATTTTTATAATACTATATAAATATAGATGAATTTATATAGAAATATACACATACACATTACTAGAATGATACTCAGATCAGAGTGTTACCAGTATTATTTCTGGATCATGTTATTATCGTTAATTTTTATTTTCTTTCCTTTTATATCTAATTTCCTATAATAAAAAATTTCTTATTAGGAAATATTTCTTAAAAGTAACTTATGGTTTATTTGATTTATTATGCCCACTTTCCCACTTTTAATGTCCTCTTATCGTTACATATAGCTGATGCCTTACTATAGGATAAAAATCCTTCAGAGCAAATTGCACAAGATATTGCACATTTATTAATAAGGAAGAAAGTGAAGCAGAAAGTGACCAAGACCACATGGCAGTTACACTTCTGGACCACTTCCCTTGCTTCCAGTTGTCAGGGAGGAGATACTTTCATTACTATTGTGGAACCCACAGGCTCTCCCTGAACTTTCCACATTGGAATCAGTCAGTCTAAAGTTTTTGGAAGCAAATACACTTCTAAGTATATGAAGTCAAGAAAGGTATTGAGGGTGAGGCTGCCAACCCATACCACTAATATCACTGAGAAAAAACAGAATTCAACTAAAATTTACTTATCCAATCCTTTCATTTTCCTTTTCAGATCTCTTCTGTCCTTATCTTCTCCTGTTCTTACCTCTTTTTGGTTTCTTCCTTTCAGTCCTACCTAGGCTTTAAGTTTGAATGTATGTGGCTCTAAAAGTATGCTTTGGTCCTATTGGAGGCTCTGCTCTTGACTTTTGCTCCAGAGTGAGCAGGACTGCCAACTTGGAACTTTACTTCAACCCTCTCATGTCCCTCTATTTTTCAGATACAAATCTTGAGTTATACTATCTCCTCGGGCTACTAGTAAAATACTCCTACTACATATTACAAAGTCTCAAGCAGCAGTTTACATTATTAAAAACTTAAAGAATTTCAAAACAAGTATTGTGAGGCTTCTTAAATAGTACCATAAAAAGCGAGTAATGGGGGCAAGCAGTATCTCATAAACAAACCTGTAAGTGAGATGGGGAATCAAAGATAGAAGGTATGACTCCAGGTTTCAGTTTAATATTTGGAGCACTTCTGTCAAAATCTGTCTTCTTAAAGTGCCTTGAACACAACACATCTCCTTTTTTAGGCTCCCAAATGCCTGCAGCGTTCACATCAAGTCTTTTCATTGCTAATACCCATTTTCTTTTGATATTTTCATCAGTGGGGAATCTAGAAAAAAAATACAAGAAGTATTTTTAAAATTAAACACTATTAATATTATATTATACTTGAATTAAGGATGTGACTAAATTAATTCCTTAACTAGTTTGTTATTACTCTTGGGAAATATTATGGAAACCATCAAGATTTATGCTTTCATAACCTTCAGGTTTTTAAAAATCTTTATTGTTGAAAGTATTACAGATGTCTCCCCTTTTTCCCCCCATTGACCCCTCCTCCCGGCTCCCACTCCCCTCCTGCTTTCCCCAAACTATTGTCTGTGTTCATTGGTTATGCATATATGCATATAAGTTCTTTGGTTTATCTCCTCCCAACTTTGTTTTAATAGTCAAATTTTTCTACCAATCATGCTGTAGACATGTGGCCCTCATTTAAATTTTTCTCATGTTATAAAGAAGATTTTTCAAAGGATATTTAATATTTTATAGTAGATACACAACTGAAGGTTTTTTTTTTTTGTCCAAGGATAGCCTATATTTGGGCAAAGATCATTCAGAATGTAAATACTGAATTTCTTTGAAGGTATGTTAAATGCAAAGTAATGCTAGAAACATGGCTTTGATCATATTTTTAACAAGCCTAATACCTTGGCGGGTATCTTAAACTTCTAAACTAAATTATAAAAATGTGAGGGTATCACTGTCACTTCAAATTTAACCAAAAAGGTTACTTAAGAAGAACTTGGGAACTATAGGTCAAGCCTTAAGTTTTAAGTAAAACCGCTTTTTGCTTTTTAAAAGTACTTGGCTTTAAACAGCAAAATCTTACACGTGAAAAGTCAGTCCTTTTAACTTGGAATTGGGCAAACAGCGAGAAGCACATCCAATGGCCGAGCAACATTTCACCATGATCTTAGCAGCTCATAACAGAACTGAAAGAAAATTAAAATGGTCAGAGTTAGCAACCTCACGGCCCAGGGGAACATATTTACCTTTCCCAGTACATTTTAGGTAAAGTGAAATCACATTAGATGGCCAAAGGCAAATATTTTTTTCCAACACCTGCAGCTTTGCTTGTAAAAATTTCCAGGGGCTTGGCTCTTTAATAAGTCATATTTAGCTATGCACTATGAAGCATATGCTTTCAATTTCTAGGCTTGTTTGTACCTTTCCCCTCCACTGCTGCCTTCCACGCTCGCTCTGCCTCGGGGCTTTAGCACCCTAACCCGCCCCCGCCGTTCAGCTCAAGCGTTGCCTCCCTTGACTCCCAGAGAAAGGCAGATCCCCTCTACTACGTGGACCACACGCTTCTTCCTAGCACTTCTCAGGGCTGTAATCTTACATTGAGGTCGGAGAGTCTCTAATGTCTCTCTCCCCAGCAGCCTGGGAGTCCCACGAGGGCACGGTGCGGCGTGTTTTCTCACTTCTGGTCCCCACGACCTAGCTCGTGACTGGCACACAGTAAATGTTAACACGTACTCTGGAGGAATGAAGAGCCACCAAGGGGAAGGGGCGGACAGAGGAAGAAGCGGAGCCAGGCGCCGGTGAGAGTCGGGGTGCCCAGCACAGCGGCGCGCGCCGGCGTCCGCTCGGAGCCCAGAGGCGGGCGAGCTCCGCCCCTTTCTCCAGGCTCCGGCCCCCGCAGCGGAGAGGGAGGGGCCGCCTGTCAGGTGCCGATGCGCCCCCGAGGGCCCCTTCCCCGGGGGCCTCCGGGCGTCTCCGCGCCGCTGCAGTCCTCCTCGCCCCGAAGAGTGCGGGCGGGCAGCTACAGGGTGGGGAAAGAAGAGGCAACCTAAGAGTTATTACCGTTAGCTGCGAAGACAGCGACTAACGTCGACAGAGATTGCGTCTTCCTTTGCTTCCGCCCTGTCAGCCGGAAATCCGACTGCCCCGGGTCACGTGCTCAGCCGCCATATTGGCTCTGGTGGCAGCTGCGGCCGGGAGGGGGTGTACTAGGGCGGCGCTGCTTCTCTGGGCGTAATTTTCACCCTAGGAGAAGGGTCCTTGGAGTGTAAGGGGAGGTAGAGGAGATGGCGGCCTTGGTGCGGGAAGATGGCGCCCGAGCCCCAGAGCAAGGGCGGCGGGGCTGCGAACATTATGACAGAGGATGTCTCCTGAAGGTGACGACTTAATTGGGCTCTTCCTCTACGAGCTCCCGCCGGGCAGGGCTGGGGGGCGGAGTGGGCAAGGCGATTCGATTTGGGCTTAAGTTTGAGGCCAAGCTGTTTGTCAGGCTACCTTCTTCACCTCGAACTGGGTTCCTGCTGCACAGAACATTCTTGGCAAGGCATCCACAGGCCCCACATTTCCTCCTGTTTTGTTCTCCGCAAGCCAAGCCCATCTGCTTGGGAAGAGCCTGGGCTTGCACATCGAGCACTTTATCAGTGAGTTTATTTATGCTGGAAGTAGACTGAGGCAGCCTCGGGCCTGGGCTGGCTTTCCCCCAGGATCCCTTCCAAGTGTGCGATGAAATAATGGAAGAGGGATAAGCAGTAGAGACTGGGGTTACGATTTCAGCTCCTGTAGTAGATACGTTTTACATCTTGCCAGCTTCCTGTGAGGGGCAATGAGTGTGCCCAGACCTGCCATGGAGAAAATGGATGTGTGGAATAGGAAGAAATCATGTAATTGTCACTCAGAAGGAAATTATAGATAGGACAGTGTCCAGTATACATACATTGTTACTTTTGCTGTTCACTTTGAGAAAAATTTCTATTCGATCTATAATTTTAGAAGAGTTGGCACCCATTCGATTCAAGTTTCCTGATTTTGTGTGTGCAAGAAACAGTATAAAGACTTTGCCTAGAAAGCTTGAGATTTGGAGTCCCACAGCCCTACACTCAAATCTTAGCTCTGCTCCTTATTAACTCAGTGCTTTGGAGCAAATTACGCTTTAAGTGCCTCGTTAAGTAAAATACGGGTAAATAGAAGTTTCTGTTTCCTAAGAACTATGAGGCCTGTAAGGACAACCTAAAGCCTTTTTTGTAGGCTATGGTTTGGTGAACATTGCTCCACTGCACTGGATGAACTCTTTCAATGTTGGTCATTCACCAGATGTTGTGTCACTGAGTCGTTCTGTTACTCTTTAAGTTTGAGATCTAAAACTGAATTCAACATCTTGGCCCTCCCTCCAATCCTCAAGAAACTGCAGATATTGATTGTATCTGTGTTTCATAGCACTGAGATGCTGGGCCCTGAGGATCAGCTGCTTTTTCGTTCTGTGTTTTCCTTAAATACCAGAGGCCAAGTGAAGAGTTTTTAGGAGGAAGTAATCAACTAAATCAAATGCTGTTGTTTGAGTTAGATAAGAACTAAAAATTGACCTTTAAATTGGTTGTGGAGGAGGTAATTGGTGATCCTGAGAAAGTTCTGTGGAAATACTGGGAAAAAACCTTACCGGAGTGGATTCAAGAGAGAATCAGAGTAGTGGAATTGGTAACAGTCTTTATAGACAGCTCTTGGAGTGTTGTAAAAACAAAAATAGTAAGGCTGTGGTTGCTGGGAGGTGTGGGGTAGGGGGATTTTTTCCCCTTTCAGATGGTAGTTATTGTTGCATGTTTGTATATTATTGGAAATGACCCATTAAAGTGAGTACACATTATATATAATATGAAGGACAAGGGAAACTGTAGCAGCACAGTCCTTGAGTATCCACAGAGAACATAAAGTGGACTGTAGATTCTGTAACAAAAAGGCAGACAGCCCTGGCCGGTTTGGCTCAGTGGTTGGAGTGTCGGCCTGCGGACCAGAGAGTCCTGGGTTCTGTTCCCGCTAGGGGCACGTACTAAAAAACAAACAAACAAACAAACAAAAAGGTAGACAGAGTATGAGGTACAATTGCAAATAGGTTGATAAAATACGTGGGAGGATCTGTTCTTGATTATTTCTACTGTTTTGGTAGTGAAATAAGAAGCACAGTCATACACGAGCTGATTGTAAGGAGGGAGGAAGGAGGTGTTTGAGGTTTAAAAGGAGAGGAGATGTGAAATAATCATCTCGGTTCTAGGTCCTAAACTCTGGAAGAATGAGGAAATTGATCAGGAAAACATGATAGTAAGAGCCCACTTTAAAAAAAAATTTTATTTATTTTTCTAGTGGTTATGATTTAAAAGTGAGACCAGTCAGTGTTGGGATGCTTTTTCTTTAGCTACATTCAGCTATTCCTATATAAGTTAAGTAGGAGAGAATTGGATTTAACCAGTTGAGATTCTGAGTAGGTGAGTATGTAGAGGAAGAGAGAAGGAACTAGGGTGTGTACAGGGGAAAAATTGGAGTGTTGGAAAGAGAGGAGGTAGTGTTTAGAGAATTCCATACTTATAATTAAGTTACACACAGAACTCGGTTCTTCTAGAGTGGTGCTTCTCCATGTGTAGTGAATGTACCTCTGGTGATTCCTGAGGCTCTTTCTGGAGATCATCAAAGTCAAAACTACCTTTTAATATAAGACATTGTCTTTTTTAGTGTGTGTAAAACTAGTGATTAAAACTTCTGGCACCTTAGCACAAATCAAGGCAGTGGCGCTCAACTGTGCTATACCAATAATGAAAAAAACAGCAAAGTTCACTTAAGAATGTCATTGATAACGTTAAAGTAGTAAAATTACTAATTTTATAAAATACCATCCCTTGAATACATCCTTTCACATGTTTGATGAAATGGGATGTTTTCATCAACAACTTTTGCAAACTGAAATTAGGTGGTTTTGTGAGGAAAAGCTGTTGTGCAATTCGATTATGACCTGAACTGTTTGCATTTTTCATGGAATAGCATATTTTTACTTGAACTGTGGTTATTTAGTCTTGGGTATTTGGTGGAAGTTTTCTCAAAAAGGAGAGATGTGAGACTGTCATTACAAGGAACAACCAACAGTGATAAAAGTTGAGCTTTCCGCGTACAAAGTAGAATTTTGGAAAACTTGTCTTAGTTCCCATAAGCTTGAATACTTTCCAGTACCTAAAGAATTTTTTGATGAGTAAATGAAAGAATTTACTGGAAAGTTAGTTTACTAGCCTGGAGCCTTCTTAATGTACTAGTTAGGGTAAGGCTAAATTGCTATAACAAAAAGACTTGCCCTGGCCAATTTGGCTTAGTGGTTGGAGCATTGGCCTGTGGACCAGAGAGTCCCGGGTTCGGTTCCATCTAGGGGCATGTACCCCCCCCCAAAAAAAAAGACTCAACAGTAAAGTGGGTTAGATAATAATGAGTTTATTTCCTTTTACCTAACAATTCCAAGGTCAGTGATCCTGTTTGTTGATGAGGCTCTGTTCCATATGATCACTCCAGGGACAAGTGTTTCCATTGTATTATTTTGCCATGTTTTAGGGCACATAGTCATCTGCTGGGTTGCTGCCATATCCAGGTTTCATCTTAAGGAAAGGGAAAAGAGAGCAGTCATGCTGTTTCTTAATATTCAGGTCTGGGAGTGGCATTGATGTCTTCTGCTGATATTCTGTTGGTAAGAACTTAGTCATTTGGCTACAACTAACAGTAAGGAAGGCTAGAAACTATAATGTAGCTGGGAGAAGGAGAAAAGATTTTGGTGGACAACTGGCAGTCTTTGTCACTCTAGAAAACAAGGACTATTTGTTACATTTATTTTATCCTCTAAAATATGAGGCATATAGTTAATGACTAATAAACACAAATGAACTAAAAGTATCTTTATACTATTTAATGTTTAGGGATTGAAGTAGATACATGAATTTATCTCGAAATGTCAATAAGAAGTTGTTGGCTTGCTCGTTAGGCAGAGAATGAATTTCGGGTGTTGGCAGGGTTAATTTTTCAGTCCAGGGATTTCCATCCTTCATGATTCTTTTGTCTTTAAGGACAAGATTGTGTTCAACTTCATAAAACTATGTTGAAAAGAATAGTTCAGATATGCCAAGGAAGAGCGAAATGTTATGTTTAGGATCAGCTTACCCAGCTGATTCATAGGTTGTAGTCTTTGACCTTGTTCTAGGAGGAGGAGGGAGAAAATTTCTTTTTGCATTGCAAACTTGCCTTCTCTTGCTTCTTGTAACTCTTTTTTTTCTCTCCTGGGCATTAGGCACCTTGCTGTGACAAGTTGTATACTTGCCGGTTGTGTCATGATAACAAGGAAGATCATCAACTAGATCGCTTTAAAGTAAAGGAAGTGCAGTGCATAAACTGTGAAAAAATTCAACATGTAAGATTTTAATCACATTTCTTTTTTCTTTATTTCAAAAAAGTTTTTTCTAAGGTGGTTTAAAAATTTTAGTCAAGAGTATTGCCAAGTCAGACAACTCTCAAAGTAAGCAGTGTCTTTGATTTAAATGTTTAAAAACTTGTAAAAATAAAACTGCATATACTTAACATAAATTCTGTATATTCAAATAGTAATTCAAAATGTTTTGGTAAATTTATCCCAATTTTTAATTACATGTGCCTTTTTTAGGCCCAACAGACTTGTGAAGAATGTAGCACATTGTTTGGAGAATATTATTGCAGTATATGCCATCTGTTTGACAAAGACAAGAAACAGTATCATTGTGAATACTGTGGAATTTGTAGGTACTGTATGTAAATGTTCTTTTCTAATTACTTCTAGTGTGTCTGGGCAA